TTTAGGACTTTTCCTCAACTTTATATAAAGGTCCAAAGCTAATGAACTAATGTTTTCAAAATCAAGGAGCCAACTACTTGTTTACTAAATATCTCATCCAATTTAAATCATAAAAATATGAAAAAATAACCATTAGATAGGGATTTTAAAGACAATCTGGGTGGTATAGGTATCATGTAATTAAACCTTATTTTCATCCAATGGCATTGTGGTTTTCCTATATACCCCCAAAATTTGAGTAAAACTCAGTATCAGCTCAAACTTGACTTGATAACTCATAAGTAGGAGTTCCAGGCAACTCAAAACTCATCAAGTTGAGTAGTCTACCATGGCTACTCAGTCCAACTCAGACTTGTTTGCAGTCTACACACAAAGATGAACAATGGAGACTTTTCAGTATTCATAATATTTTCACTAAAGTATTCAATCATAGAACTGATTTTCATCTACTGAAAGATGAAATTGAAACCTTCAATTTTATCATTCTAAAGAAATCACCTCAATAGCTCACTTCAGCTGAAAACAGAAAGATTAAAAAGCATACTTCTGTTATTTGTCATATTTAAAATACTGAGATTGCAAAATCTCTAAAGAAAATCAATATTGCTGATTTAAACTTATCAGTCTATCAGTATCAGAGCATCAAGCAAATCAGAACAAAAGCACATATTCAAGATTTTAATTTCTATATATATGATCATCTCTTTCTCAACTGCAAAAATCAAACAAAATGTGAAATATGTGCTGAATGTTAGAGTCTGGCATGAAGTGAGAAAGAAGCATTGAGCTTGGGGTCATGTGACCAGATTCTCCAAGCAACTGTCATTAGTAGAGCAAGAAATCAGAATAAGAGAGTATATATTACACAATTACTTCAGATCTCTCTTTTCTTCATCATGTTTAGTATTTTTGATTAGATATATTTAGTATAACAGTTTATTAGATTCTTCTTCTTTCATTCTTGCACCTAGTCTGAGATTATATTATAATATTAAACATCATCTTACTTTACTCTTTTTAAAGTCTTTCAGTTAAAAGATTTCAAGCAGTGTTGATCATGACTTCAAGTGTGTCAGCATCTGCAAACAATTTAAACTTATCACTATTGGAGAATCAGTTGTTGAATCTTTTCTTGTATCAGTGGATCAATCTAGTCCCAAGTGCACAAGAAAATAAAACAAAGCAAATTTTTTTAAACACTTTAACACCACTGTGGAACTAGACTGGATCAGTGGGACCAGAATTCCAGATTCAATCCCAGCTTTTCCATCTCATGTCCCTCCCTCAGGACAGAATCAGGTCAAAATCTTGGGCCTGGAACAGAACATGATTCAATGATGTGTGAGAGGGATGGAACTTGGGATCTGCTTTTTAAAATCTGATGATTTCAGAATCTCAGCCTCATCTAATAACTTGAGACCAGATTCAAACATAAGTAATGGGATGAGTTATGGGACATGATATTGCAGGTGGGACAGAAACAGTTATGAGAGAAATGAGACTGGAATTTCAGTTTTATAGATCACATGATGTCACATGAAAAAGTAACAAATTTTGATAATAATTCTGACACATTTGGAGCAATTTAAGCATTTGAGCAAAATAATTCAAATAAATCATTCTAATTCAAGTATTCTGTACAATGTTTATTATTTCAACAAGCTTGATAATTGCTTCTTCTCTTCTCTTGTTAATGCATCTTCATTTTTCATAATATCTTCTATATCTATCTCTTTAATCTTCTTGACTAACTCTGCATCTAATACTAGTGCTTCATCAAGCAAGTGCTTTTTATCATCATATTTCAGCAACATGATCTTCTTGATGGTGGACACATGAAGCTGTGACTGTCAATAGTGATAGATATCTCTTGCAGTGTTGAACACATATTCAATATCTATCTCTGTCAACAGTATGATCAGAATGTCTTTAATCATGCAAGCAACTGTCAGAAAGATTAACTTCAGATTTTGTCACTGTTTTAACAGTGATATTAACTCTGTGATTAAATTCTCATTATTAAAATATTATTTCATCTCAGTGAAAGTATTCTCTTGATTTCTGAATGATTTTTTGAAAAGAATATTTTCAATATCCTAACAATAATATCAGTATGAAGTAAATTATTATTTAAATAATAACACATCTCATTATTATCTATAATTATCTCTCTTAACTTCTCATATTGCTGATAATGCTTCTCATAATATGTGAGAATGTACTGTTGATATTTTTCATGTTTCTTCTTTTTCCAGTTCTTGAGATTATATACTCTCATAGAGTAAGTTGAGTGGAGAACAGTAGCTACTGTCAGAAGCTCATCTTTAGAATACTTTGTATTTTTATAATATTTTTGAAACTTCAGTTTGGCAGCAGCTATAATCTTCTTAATATTATTTCAGTTTCTTGTTGTGGGTCTACTCTTCTCCTCTTTCAGATGAGCAAATAGATGATTGTAAGTCACTCACATTATATGAATTGTTGACTCTTTTGTCTTTGATATTGTCTTTATATAGTTGCTGAATGACAGTAGAAGCTTGATCATGTACTGCATCTGACTTCATTCATTATCAGATAGCTGTAGAGTCTGATACTTGACTGCTGAATCTTGATTTCATGCATTAATGACTTCACAAAGAGCTAACACTCATACACACATCTCATATGTTGAATTTTATTGAATTCAGACATTCTGAATCATCTTTTGCTTGTTGATTTATTAATAGTTTTAAAATCAAGCCACAAGTTGAGATGATGTGTTGGTGGTATTGATCATGAGTCAAATCTGAAATCAGTTACATGATTAGCAAATTGCTTCAAATGTGTCAGAATTATTATCAAAATTTATTATTTTTTTAAGTCTGTTTGTGAAGATATTATTTAATAAGAAATTCTTCTGAAGATCATCTTCATTAAATATTATTGACAACACATCATTCTCTGACTGAATCTTGAGCTTGCAGACAAGTTCTTGAATCACAAGTTATATTACATGAGTTAGATAGAATATCATTCCAGCTTCTGAGTCTTATTCAGCAGATTTATTTAATCTTATTAATATTGACTGCAGTTGTTTCTTGAGCTCTGATTGCATTGTATTATTATTGAATGCATTGTCACTTGTGATTACTAGAAGCTGATGCTCTAGTTTTCATGCATTCAGACATTCTATAAGAACTTCTGCCATGTTTTTTTCAGTATGAATTTCATGTAAGCTCTCAAACTTTAGCAAATGTTTCTGATACTTTTGGTTCTTTGTAATATAATATTTATTAATTGTCATAAAAGCAAGATTGTTGAAACTTGTTCAATTATTCATTGTCAAAGACATCTTTGTTGTTGTGTTGAAATCAGTCAGCAGTGTCTTGAACAGATTATTATACATGATGTTCATGATCTGATACAGTGTCTTACAAGTTGAAATATTGTTTGTCATTAAAGAATTAAGCATTGACATTATAATCTTAAAGGCTGGGTTTTTAATCATGTGAAAGAATATATTCAGAGATATCATAATTCAAATAAATTGCTGCTGGAAGTTTTGTGGATTGCATTCAGAAATAAGTGATGCATTTCAAGAATATTTTCAATTGAACTTTTAAGACATCAGAACTGTTATCAAATTTCATTACTTTTTATATAAAGATATAAAATAATCACTTATCATTATCTGTTATAGATTCTGAGATTCACCATCTCTCTTGTCACACTCTACATTCTTTAGATATTTCTTCAACCCACTTGTGTCATTTTCAATAAGACTTGAGTGCTTGAGGACTGCCCAATAATTTTTGCAAATCATCACTAGATTATCACTTAAAATCTCAGCAGCTTAATTATATTGAGCTCAGAAGTCTGAGTGACAATTTTTAACAGCTTAATTTAAATTGTGATTTTTCTTCTTCTTAATCAACTGAGCAGTATCTGTTGCTGATCATCAGATAGTAAAGAACTTTGAGTTCTCTTACTTTTATTTAATATACACAACTTTCTTAATTTGCATCTGAGTCAATTCAGATAAGATATCAGTAAAGAATAAGACATTATTATTAATAACAACAGACTTCTGAGAGGCTTCCATTTTGACAACTTGACAATAAGTTTAAAGTTGAAGAATTGAATTGTGAAAGAGCAGGATGAAGAGTTACAAGAAATTTGAGAAATTTGAGAAATTCATGAGAATAAGATTGAAAAGTTTTTCATACTTCATTAATTTACATTATGAAAAGAATGTTCTGATGATAACTTTATTTATAGAGAGAATATCTGTTAAATGACTTCTTTATGAAGGAATTATTCATTGAAGACTTTTCAATTAATTACTAACTAAAATAAAATATTCTTAAATATTAATAATTCAGTTATCATTCTTCTTCTCATTCTTCTTCTTCTCATCAGAAGAGATGACAATCTCAAACTTCTTCTTACTCATCTTCTCTGATGATGATAGCATCTTCTTATTTAATAAAGTCTGCAAATAACTCTGAAATGTTTTCATCTTCTTCTTTATCTTATTCTTTGAGAAATCAGCAGCAGCAAGACAATCATGTTCATAAGTCATAACTTTAACTTCAAGTGCAGTTATCATTGCACAAATGTGAGTCTGAATGCACACAGCAATTAAATGTGCTGCAAGTTCAATTTTGATCTAAATGTGTTAGAACTATTATCAAATTTTGTTACTTTTTGATATATCTTATTCTTAATTTCTTCTTATGTCTGCATGATTTTTTCATCATATTTCTTCTTCTCTTTAATCTTCTGCTTTTTGTGAGCCACTAGCATCTGATACTTGTGATATTTCTTGAACTTGTTCTTGACAAATTGTTTAGCTATGAGTTCTTTAATAATCTGATTCTTTATTATCTGATACTCTTGCTTATTGATATTCTTTCTGTAATCTGTGTCAGTATGATATAAGTCAGTTTGCTGCTGATAATCTGATACACATCATAACTTCTTGACTTGAAGCTTTTGAAGAATATCATAATATGTCTTGTAATTGATCTTCTCAGCTTTAAATATATTATAATTCTATCTGAAAAGAGCCAGCCTGCTTTCTCATACAGCATGTGTCTTCTTATGCATCAAGTATTCTTTTTGTGGAGTTATTTTTATCTGTTTGTGAGGTAAGTAGTGATTTGAATGGATGGCTTGAGATATGTTTGACTATGAGATGATATGAGAATGTTTGAATGCAATATCAGACTTCTATACTGACTACTGTTGCTATGCAGCTTACTACATTACTGTGCAATATCAGAATATGTTTATTTTAACACAATATGTTTGTTTTGACATGATATCAAGCAACCAAAGCTACAATACTAGAAATCATTACCATGTAATATCAGAATGTGTTTGTTTTAATGTAATATTAAGCTGTCAAAGCCACAATACAAGAAACTGTTGTCATGCAATATTAGAGTATGCTTATTTTAACATAATATGTTTGTTTTGATGTGATATCAAGTCAGTATATTGTTTACTATAAACTCATGACCAGTTGTCACAGTATCATAATATTAGATAGAAGATATAAAATCAATTATTTTCATCTTCTCTCTTCTTTCTCTTTCTTTTCTGTAGATTAATCATTATCAAAATCATTATCATTTATTGATCTCTTCTGTAAACTATCTCAACTCTCTCATTCACTTCATCTTATCTGTTCTTCTGCAACAATGAATTGTATTGAGTTTTCTACACTGACTGATATAAGACCAGTGGTGAACTGCAGCACAAGACTGCATTAAAAGACTGAGAAATCATCAAGACAACTTGATATAAGATGAATCTGAAGACTGATCTGACAGTCTTTGAAAAAAAAATCCCCCACCTGCAACCCCCCCAACATCAGTTAAAAGCTGATACTCATATATGAAAAAATAACAAATTTTGATAACAGTTCTGATGCTAATTGAATCATTTACATGTGATTCAGAAGATTAAACATCTTTAAAGATTCATAGATTTGATTATCTCTGCAGTCATATTTCAGTAATTGATTTATGAAATCACTGTTAACTGTGGCTGAGATCATGATATTCACTGACAATATACTGTTATTGAAAATCTTCAAGAGACTGCAGAGGCAACCATTGTTATCTTGTTCAAGTGTGAGTATTAATAATTGTATAAATTGATATTCATATAACTAATGCAAATTGGAAAGACTTGATTATGGTAATGATGCATTGAAAGTGTGTAACTATTAATATCAAGAATATGCATCTGATCATGAAGATTAGCTTCATGATTGAGTTGCAATTTTTTAAATTAATTAAAACAGTTAATCACTTCTGCTCTGCTGTCTCTACTGTCACTTCTGTCTGTCATGTCATTCATTCTGTCACATCTGGAGTCTCTGACTTCATTGTGAGGCAGCAGAAGTTCAATATTAAGATGCTATTAAAAATGATAAGAAGATCTGCTGAAGAGAAAAAGAAGAAAGAGAATAATGAAGATGATAAAGACAAAAAAGAAGAAAAAGAAGAGAAGAAAGAAAATGCAACAAAGATGAAGAATATCAATTCATCTAACTAGATGAATATTGTTGGACTGGCATAAGCTGACTACTAGTCTTGATGTTATTTATTAATATGAATTATTTCTGAGAATATTGAGTTTTTCATTGATCATGATACATACTGTAAAAAAAGTAATAAATTTTAATAATAGTTCTAGCATCTTAAAAGCAATTTGAGCTTTTTGCTCTACATAATAAAACATGAGACTGAAAATTCATGTTCCATTCCAGTCCCATCTTAAGATTATCCAGTATCAGAACCAGTGTCAGCTATCACAGAACAGAAAGATTTTTGAAATGTGAATCTCATAATGAAATGGTGCTGCTGGGATTTATTTAACTATATAATGAGATTTCATATCTCATTTCCTGCTGGAATGAGATATGAGAACTATATACTCAGTTTCAGAACAAATTCTTCTACAGATTTTGAAACTGAGATCAATACTCATGAGATTTGGAATCCTGTTCCAGTCTCAAGCATCACTCTATGTGGAACAGAACACACAAGCAGTCTATAATAAATATCAGCACCACAATTCACAAAACTCAAGTGCACAGCAAACAAATTGAAAGAAAAGCTCAGAATCAGATCAGTGTTCTGAAGAAACAAGTGACTGCTCTGATGAAGAAATAAGATTAATACAAAGAAGTATGTGCAACTGAATTACTGAACATGCAGAAACAGAGAAGCACTTCTGCTTATTTAACTGAATTTAGAGAAAAGCAATCAGTCAAGATTGATGACTTCAAGCACCTCACAGATGGAAAGAAACTCAAGTTTGAGCATTAACTTTTCAGAATAAAGAATAAATTATAAGAAAATGCAGAACACTTCTTCACTGAAATCAGCAAGATCATCTGTGTCAAGAATCAAATCAACAGAGATGTCACACATCACATTGCTCTCCACATGTGAGAAGAACATCCAGAACATTATCAAACAGCAGAGAAAGTATTCAAATACTTGAAGAAAATTTATAAGATGATACAATCTCAGACTAGATGTAAGAATGGAAGAAGAAGAATCTAATAAACTGTCATGCTAGATAGATTTAATCAAAAATACTAAACATGATGAGAAAAAGAAGAATCTGAAGCAATTGTACAATATATACTTTCTTATTCTGAGCTCTTATTCTGAACTCTACTACTGACAGTTGTCTGGAGAATTCAGTTACATGACTCTGAGTTCAACATATTTTTACCACTCTGCATCAGACTCTAACATTACTTCTCTGAAAAACTCAAACATATTCTCATGCCAGACATTCTGACTGTAGACTCTCTTATTTCATTCTTTTAATAAGTCATCATCCACACATTCTGATAGATTTTTCTCACTTTCTCATGTCTTCAGTCATTCTGTCAGTTATTTTACAGATCTCAGTTTCTGCAGATTGCTCTTGTGATAGTCTCTTAACTAATGTGATGAGCTCTTAAAATTCCACACTGAATACTATTACAGATTATGATCATATTCTAATCATTTAACTCAGTACTGCAGCTTACTTCAGTGAATTCAACTTGTCAGAATTTACTCCATCTCTTATTTATTTTTTCCATTAATGATCAATAGCTCTAACTTCTCATATTCTTGTTCTGATAGAGAATTCATTACTGCTCAGCAGAGTTTGTCTGAAGAAAATATCAGATATATCTTCATGCTTGAGAATAGTTTCAGACAGTAGCTGTTCTCTATTTTCTTCATCATTAAGAAGAGTTCAGCATTCTGCTCTGTTAGTTTTCTGCTTGAGTGATCTACTAAATAGTTGTGTAGAGTCAAGTAGATCTGATTCTCTATTTTAAAATTGAATTCTCAACAGTGATAGTTGATCTGTTTTTCTATTATTTTCTGAGTCTTCCACATTCTCTGCTGAGTGAATTTTCATACTTTTTCAAAAGCTCACACTTGATTCTGTACTTCTTGACAGTTTAAGCACTCAGTGTGTTGCAGTGGGGAAATCCATGATGTCTACTTTTTCACTGACATGATTATCCAATCCAAACTGCTGGCATGATTATCCAATCTAACTAGCAGAACAGAATAAATCTTTTTTCTTACATTCTGATCTTGACTATAAAGATTGAATCAAGTCTCTTCTTTAAGAAGACATACTATTATAACATCTTACCACTCATTCATGTTTCTACTTATTAGATAGATTATACAATTTACTACTTCTTCTATTTGATTTAGAGTGGTGCTCAGAACTGGAACAGAATCTCAAATTTCATGTGCATTGATTTCAGTTTCAAATTCAGCTTCAAATTTGATTCCAGCAGCAGTGATATTGATCTATATCCCATCTCAGCAGAATAATGGAACTGGGATTCCATACTAATTTGATAGTAATTCCAGCCAGAACTGTCCCATCATGAGAATTGTGTATCAAATTCCAGACATCTCATGAGAGAGACAGGACTGGGTTGGAATCAGAATTCCAGCAATATTATATAAGATAAGTGATGTGGGTATAACAGTGTTAAAATTGCTGAAATATGCTAAAACCATTATCAAAATTCATTACTTTTTTATATTGAACATGATATGAGATGGGATCTCAATCTCATATGCTCATATGTCAGTACCAAACTGAATAGACTGTACTGTGTTCCATCTCATCTCATTCCAGTCTCAGCTGATGCCAGTCATGTCTATAACAATGTGGTTCTGAACTCAGCCATGTCTATAGTACTGTGGTTCTGAATTCAACCTCTCTCATACACTAGAGTTCCAGGCACTGTCCTGAGCATACATGGTCTCAATCAGTACACTCCACAGGAGGGAAATGAAATGAAAAAGTCAGAATTGAGTCTGGAATTCCAGTCCCACTGATCCAGTCTAATTTAATTGTTTCTACTATTCCAATGTTCCAATATGGAGATGTTGATTGTTCATACATTATTGCTATATGACTAGCACAATGAGATTCCACTACCATACATGATCAAGAGCACTCTATTCTCATCTTTCTGATTTTCTGCAATATTATTCTTTCATTGGATTTGTTGTTGATGAGCATGAGCATATATGATTGATCATCATTCCATCACTCTACTATCACTTCTACTGAGATATGTATATTATGAGAGAGTGCCTTCCCACAATTTGCCCACTTCATTTTGATGATCAAGCTGAGACATATTTCAGTGATGTGGTGAGTGTGGTATTTGTAATGGATTGTTACAGCAAAGCAAAAAATTCTATGGTGAATCCTGCAGAAAGAGTTTTTTATTGCTTTTTCTCTTGTTGTTCCATTTGATTAGCTGAATGAATATAGCTAAAGAATTTTGATATAGATTTTGAATTTATCACATCAGATGGTTTGAAAATTTTGTAAAGGCATACAGAAATGATGTCTGTATTCTGAATATTTAAATATGATATTATTGAGATAAGAAAACAGTTCTGTAGAAGATGATCTCCAGATACAGACAGGTAAGATTTCTATTGAATAGTTTTTACTGATATAGATTCTATTAACACAGTTAGAATCACATTTAATAATGAATATTTTTGAGAAATATCCAAAGATGGCCTTTGAGTAGTTCAGTTTATATTATAAAATTGAGAAAGATCTGAAAATAGTTAGATTGAGAAAAAAAGATAAGAGAGATGAGAAATATTCTAAACATTTAAAAACTCTTGATTAAATTTCAAATTCATCTGTGTATGCATATTGTTATTCTAAATGTTATTCTATTCTGAAGAATATTATTATTTGTTGAACAAGAGCTTGATTAAAAACTTAATTACTGATTTCAAAATATCTGATAATGTTGTTGTCTCAAGCTCTGTTGCACCACAATGACAGCCATGTAATTCAAAGTCAGATGTTAGCATTGTCAGTACAGATGATGATTCTTCAATTAAATTCAATTCTGATGAATGAGTTGTAGTGTATATTCATACATCTATGCCAGCACCAGGCACTGTGAATACTTCATGATTTAAAAAATTGAATATCATTCTGTTTCTGAAAAGATTTCATCAGCTGTGTATTGATCATGATCTTAAAGCAGAATTCAAAAAGATCATGAAATGAATGACTCACTACTTTAGTAACTGAATAAGTAAATGAATGAAGTCTCTCAGCAGCTATATTGCAGAAGATTGGAATACATTCACCACTGAGATTAAGTATTAATTTTGTAAGAACAATATCAGTTATAAAATTCACAAGTGTGAGTATCTGAAGATTTTAGTTAATACTTCTTAAATCTGAAAGAATGACATTTGATTTTATATTCATCAGTATGTCTTTATTTTAAAAAGTGTCAAGAATAATAAAAAACTGAATGATAATCTGCTCACTGTTCTGCCTCAATCTGAAAAATCAAGTATGTATTCTGTCAGACAAATGTACAATAATCATGTGCAAGAATCTTTGAATCTCAGAAACTCATATCTCAAAAAGTTCTCTGTCAGAGTCAACTCTCTTTATCTAAAAACCCATATGAACAACTAGACTGAGTCAGTGGAATCAGAATTCTGAACTTAATTTCAGCTTTTCTGTCTCATGTTCCTCTCCCAGGATGGGACTGAGTCAAAATCTTGAGTCTGAAATGAGACATGATTTAATGATGTGTGAGAGAGATGGAACTTGAGATCTGCTTTTTAAAATCTGATGATCTCAGAATTCTGGCCTCATCTAATAACTTAAGACTGGGTTCAAACATAAGTAATGAGACAGATCATGAAACATGACATTGCAGATAAGATAAAAACAGTTATAAAGAGAATGAGACTGAAATTTTAGTCTCATAAATCACATGATGTCACATGAAAAAGTAATAAATTTTGATAACAGTCCTGACACATTTAAAGTAATTTAAGCATTTAGATAAAATAATTCAAGTAAATCATTCTAATTTAAGTACTCTGTACAATATTCACTATTTTAACAAGCTTAACAATTGCTTCTTCTCTTCTCTTGTCAATGCATCTTCATTCTTTATAATATCTTCTATATCTATTTCTTCAATCTTCTTGACTAATTCTGCATCTGATACTAGTGCTTCATCAAGCAAGTGCTTTTTATCATCATGTTTCAGCAACATAATCTTCTTGATGATGGATATATGAAGCTGTGATCATCAATAGTGACAGATGTCTCTTGTGGTGTTGAACACATATTTAACATCTACTTCTATCAATAGTATGATCAGAATGTCTTTAACCATGCAAGCAACTGTTGAGAAGATCAACTTCAGATTTTATTACTGCTTCAACAGTAATATTGACTCTGTAATCAAATTCTCATCATTAAGATATCATTTCATCTCAGTGAGAGTATTCTCTTAATCTCTGAATGATTTTTTAAAAAGAATATTTTTAATATTCTAACAATAACATCAGTATGAAGTAAATTATTATTTGAATAATAATATATCTCATTATCATCTGCAATCATCTCTCTTGACTTCTTATATTACTGATAATGCTTCTTATATTATGTAAGAATGTGCTGTTAATATCTTTCACATTTCTTCTTTTTTTAATTTTCAGAATCATATACTCTCATACAGTGAATTGAGTGAAGAACAGCAGCTACTGTCTGAAGCTCATTTTTAAGATACTCTGTATCTTCATAATATTTTTGAAACTTTAATTTAACAGCAGTTATAATCTTCTTAATATTATTTCAGTGTTTTATTGTGAGTCTACTCTTCTCCTCTTCCAAATGAACAAATAGATGATTGTAAGTTGCCCACATCATATAAATTGTTAGCTCTTTTATCTTTGATATTATCTTTATATAGTTGTTGAATGACAGTAGAAGCTTGATCATGTACTGCATTTAACTTCATTCATTATCAGATAGCTGTAGAGTCTGATACTTGACCACTAAATCTTGATTTCATGCATTAATAGCTTCACAAAAAGCTAATGCTTGTACACACATCTCATATATTAAATTTCATCAGATTTGGACATTCTGAATCATCTTTTGCTTGTTGATTTATTAGTAGTCTTGAAATTGAGTCACAACTTAAGATGATGCATTGATGACATTGACTATGAATCAAATCTGAAGTTAGTCACATGATTAGTAAATTGCTTCAAATGTGTCAGAACTGTTATTTAAATTTATTATTTTTTTAAATATATCTGCAAAGATATTATTTGATGAGAAATTTTTCTGAAAATCATCTTTCTTAAATATTGTTGGCAATATATCATTCTCTGACTGAATCTTGAGCTTGCAGACAAGCTCTTGAATCACAAGTTGTATCACATGAGTCAGATAGAATATTGTTCCAGCTTCTAAGTCTCATTCAGCAGATTTATTCAATTTTATTAATATTGACTGCAGTTGTTTCTTGAGCTCTAATTGCATTATATTGTTATTGAATACATTGTCACTTGTGATTGCTAGAAGCTGATGCTCTAACTTTCATGCATTTAAATATTTTGTAAGAACTTTCACCATGTTTTTCTCAGTATAAGCTTTATATAAGCTCTCAAATTATAGCAAATATTCTCAGTACTTTCAATTCTTTGTAATATAATATTCATTAATCATCAGAAAAGCAAGATTGTTGGAACTTGTTCAATTATTTACTATTAAAAACATTTTTGTTATTACATCAAGATCAGCCAGCAGTGTCTTGAACAGATTATCATACATAATGTTCATGATCTGATACAGTGTCTTACAAGTTGAAATATTGTTTGTCATTGAAGAATTGAGTATTGATATTATGATCTTAAAGACTGAGTTTTCAATCACATGAAAGAATATATTCAGAAATATCATGATTTGAATAAATTGCTGCTGAAAGTTTTGTGAATTGCATTCAGAAATAGATGATGCATTTTGAGAACATTTTTGATTGAACTTCTAAGACATTAAAACTGTTATCAAATTTCATTATTTTTTATATAAAGATACAAAATAATCACTTATCATCATCTACTGTAGATTCTGAGATTCATCACCTCTCTTATCACATTCTGTACTTTTTAGATATTTCTTCAACTCACTTGTGTTATTTTCAATAAAATCTGAGTGCTTGAGAATCATTCAATAATTTTTGCAAATCATTACTAAATTACTGCTTGAAATCTCAGCTGCTTGATTATATTGAGCTTAGAAGTCTGAGTGATGATTCTTGACAGCTTAATTTGAGCTGTGATTTTTCTTCTCTTCAATTAATTAAGCAGCATCTATTACTGATCATCAGATAGTGAAGAACTTTGAGTTCTCTTACTCTTATTTAATATACATGACTTTCTCAATTTGCATCTGAGTTAACTCAGATGAGATATCAGTAAAAAATGAGATATTATTATCAATAACAACAGACTTCTGGAAGACTTTCATTTTGATAACTTGACAATGAATTTAAAGTTAAAGAATTGAATTGTGAGAGAGCAGAATGAAGAGTTACAAGAGATTTAAGAAATTTAAAAAATTCATGAGAATAAGATTGAAAAGTTTTTCATACTTTATTAATCTACATTATAGAGAAAATGTTCTGATAATAACTTTATTTATAGAGAGAGTATCTGTCAAATGATTTCTTTATGAAGAAATTATCTGTTAAAGACTTTTCAATTGATTACTAACTAAAATAAAATGCTTTTAGATATTAACAATCTAGTTATTATTCTTCTTCTCATTCTTCTTTTCTTTATTAAAAGAGATGACAATCTTAAACTTCTTCTTGCTCATTTTCTCTGATGATGATAGCATCTTCTTATTTAATAAAGTCTGTAAATAACTCTGAAATGTTTTCATCTTCTTCTTCATCTTATTCTTCAACAAACCAGCAGCAGCAAGATAATTGTGCTCATGAGTTATAACTTTGATTTTAAGTGCAGTCATCATTGCATGAATGTGAGTCTAAATGCACACAGCAATTGAATGTGCTACAAGTTCAATTTTGATCTAAATGTGTTAGAATCATTACTGAATTTCATTATTTTTTAATATATCTTATTCTTAATCTCTTCTTGCATCTGCATGATTTTTTCATTATGCTTCTTCTTCTCTTCAGTCTTCTGCTTCTTGCAGACCACTAGCATTTGATGCTTATAATATTTCTTGAACTTGCTCTTGACAAATTGCTTGATTATGAGTTCTTCAATAATCTGATTCTTCATTATCTGATACTCTTGCTTATTAATATTCTTTCTGTAATCTGTGTCAGTATGATATAAATCAGTTTACTGCTGATAGTCTGATACACATCATGACTTCTTGACTTAAAGCTTTCAGAAAATATCATAATATGTCTTGTGATTGATCTCTTCAGCTTTAAACACATTACAATTCTGTCTAAAAAGAGCCAGCCTGCTTTCTTGTGCAGTACAGATCTTCTTATATATTGAATATTCTTTTTGTGAAGTCATTTTCATTCATTTATGAGATAAGTAGTGGTTTGAATGAATGGCTTGGGACATGTTTGATTATAAAATAATATGAGAATGTTTGAATGCAATATCAGACTTCTATACTGACTACTGTTGCTATGCAGCTTACTACATTGTCATGCAATATCAGAATATGTTTATTTCAACACAATATATTTATTTTAATGTGATATCAAGCTGTTAAAGCTACAATACTAGAAACTGTTACCATGTAATATCAGAGTGTGTTTGTTTTGACACAATATCAAGCTGTTAAAGTCATGATACAAGAAACTGTTGCTATGTAATATTAGAGTATATTTATTTCAATATAATATGTTTGTTTTGACATGATATTAAGTCAGTATATTATTTACTATAAACTCATGATCAGTTGTCACAGTATTGTGATATCAGACAGAAAATATAAAATTAATTATTTTTATCTTCTCTCTTCTTCTTCTTTCTTTTCTGTAGACTAATTATTATCAAAATCATCATCATTTATTGATTTCTCTCACAAATCATTCCAACTCTCTCATCTACTCTGTCTCATCTGTTCTTCTGTAATAATGAGTTACATCAAGTTTCTCCAAACTGATCAGTACAAGACCAGTGGCAAACTGCAGCACAAGACTGCATTAAAAGACTGAAAAGCTGTCAAGACAACTTGATATAAGACAAATTTAAAGACTGATTTAATAATCTTTAAAAAAGAAATCTCTCACTTATAATTCTTCTGACATTAATTAAAAGCTGATATCTGTATGTGAAAAAGTAATGAATTTTAATAATAATTCTGATGCTAATTGTATTATTTAAATATGATTCAGAAGATTAAATATCTTTAAAGATTTACAGATCTGATTATCTCTGCAGCTGTATTTCAGTAATTGATTTATAAAATCATTATTAACTGTGACTGAGATCACAATATCTGCTGACAACATACTGTTATTAAAAATTTTCAAGAGACTGCAGAGATGATTATTGTTATCTTGCTCAAGTGTAAGTATTAACAATTGTATAAGTTGATATTCATATGACTAATGCAAATTGAAAAGACTTGATTATGACAATGACATATTGAAAGTGTGTGACTGTCAATACTGAGAATATGCATCTGATTATGAAGATTAGCTCCATAATTGAATTGCAGTTTTTCAGATCAATTAAAACAGTTAATCACTTTCATTCTGTCATCTCTGCTGCTGCTTCTGCTCATCATGCTGTCTGTTCTGCCACATCTGTCACTTCTGTCTCTGCTGCCCACACTGCTGCTTCTGTCACCTCTGAAGTCTCTGACTCTGTTATGAGGTGATGAAAGTTCAATATTAAAACACTGTCAAAGATGGCAAGAAGACCCACCAAAGAGAAGAAGAAGAAAGAAAATGATGAAAATAATAAAGATAAAGAAGAAGAAGAAGAAGAGAAGAAAAAGAATGTAATAAAGATGAAGAATATCAATTTATTTAATTAAATAAATATTATTGAACTGACATAAGCTGACTACTGGCCTCAACATTATTCATTAGTATGAATCATTTTCAAAAATATTAAATCTTTTTTTGATCATGATACACACTGTAGAAAAAATAACAAATTTTGATAACAGTTCTAGCATCTTAAAAGCAATTTGAGCTTCTTGCTCTACATAATAAAACATGAGACTGAGAATTCATATCTCATTCCAGTCCCATCTTGAGATTGTTCAGTATCAGAACTGGTGCCAGCTACCACAGAATGAGAAGATTTTTGAGATGTGAATCTTATAATAAAATGATGCTGTCAGAATTTATTTGACTACATAATGAGATTTCATATCTCATTTTCTGCTGAGATGAGATATGAGAACTATATGCTCAGTTCTGAAACAAATTCTTCTACAGATTTTGGGATTGAGATTAATGTCCATGGGATTTGAGATCCTGTCCCAGTTCCAAGCACCACTCTATAAACAACAATTCTGAGAATTCAGAATATGAAATTAGCAACTTGAATACTAATGAGAATGAGAATGGCTATCACATCAATGCTGGATTCATGATTAATGAGATCAGAATGGGTCAGAAAAGATCAACATCTCACAATAGAATTTCTAAAATGAAGACAATGTATACTGACAAATACAACAGAATTGAGGATGAATCTGCTAAGTGATGTTGACATATTCACTTTTTAAAAGATGTTGATTTAATTATGAGTAAAGCTCATGAAGTTGAAGATAAGAAAGATGATGTCATCACAAAAAGATATTATAAGAATTCTGATAAACTGTCAGCCAAACTTCAGAATTCAAACAACTCTGCTCACATTATGAATTGAATTTTGAATGGTAAACTCAAGATTACAATTTAAAATGTTATTGATGTCTCACTCCATTTGCATTGTGAATTTTTCAGCATTTCTACATCAAAGTCATCAGCTAATAAAAATTACACAGAAAGAAAGATGACTGATAAACAACTTAAATTCATTAAAGTTAAAGTTAAGAATACAAGAGTTTGATCTGAACTCACCACTGACAAATCAGATGTTGTTTATGTGGCTAAGACTCTTTGAGTATCAATTAGCATTTATAATGAAATGTTTGATGCTCTTATCAACATCAGATTGAAGATTAATGTGATCTCTCTACATTTGGTGTGTCAGCTTCAATTAAAATTGAGAGATAGACTGAAGTGTGTCATAGTGATGCAGACTGATGATATGAAAGCATTTTCAGCAGAAATTCAATCTCTATTCATTCAAATTAGAGATCTTATTTAGCATACTTCTTTTCTTATTATTGACAGTAGAGACAATGAGATAATTCTTGATTAATCTTGACAATATTTAACAGAATGAGAATGTGATACTTTATTCAACAGACAAATGATTTGCTCTGTATACAACAAGAATTAAACTTGATGACTTCAGTTTCAAGAATTCAAGCTGGCAAACTCAATAATAAGATTTGAAATTAATATTTTTCTGGAAAGCAAAAAGAACAGCTATAATAATGAGAACAACAATGAGAAGAGTTTAAACAAGTAGATGAGCATTCAATCAGAAGAATATTCACAGAGTCAGAGAATTTTTCTGAAAGCTGTTATGGGGAGGTGGAGGTGAAGATGAAAGCAGTGTGAATGATGTTTGATTTAATTGACAGTGATGATGGTGGATATGTGGAAGAGAAGAAACTTGATGAATTTTATGAATGTGATGAAGATTCAGTGGTAGAATCTGTTTCTCATGTCTGAGAGAAGAATTATAATGAAGACATTAAAAACTTGAAATTGAATGAATTTGTGGAATTTTTAAAAGAATCATCAGAAAAATCATTAAAAGAATCTGATTATGTGCTAACTCAAAAAAGATTAATCATTGAGATGATAAGCAAAATTCATTCTGATTAATCAGAATGTAAGAAAATCAATAAGATTAAGTTTATCTGAAGATTTTTTTCATTCTTAACAGCAGAGATCTGCAGCAAAAGTCATCTCAGTCATGTATTGAAGAACATTTATAATGTTATTTTCAAGCAATCAGATTGTTTTCAAGTCTCAAAAAGATCTTATAGAACTGATCTGTTCAATAATAATTGAGATACAGATTCTCAAAAAACTGGTTCTTGTTCAGAAACTTCTATGAGAATTATTTTTAAAGATGTCAAGTATAAACATGTTGCTGACAAGATTAAGCTGCTGACTTCAGATGAATCTGATGGTTCAAAATCTGAAGAACTCACAAATTAAATTAAGATTTGTTTGAAGAAGTATCATTCTGAATTTTCATAAATTAAATACAGAACTGAGTTCAATCAATGACTGAAGTCTTAAATTTTATTATTTTCTGTTGAAGCATGACTGACAAATAAAGAATTGAGAAGATAGATATTGATAAATAGCTTTAATTAAAGAAGAGAGAGTTGCTTCTTGCTATGCTATATAAATGTGAAGACATGTTGACATAATCTTTCAAGAATATGAGTTGTGTTCAACTGAAGATTTTTTCTTCTTAAGAAATTCAAACAGTTTCACATAATGTGTGAAAGATTAAAACATATCAAATTTCTCATGCTTCTTAAAAGCAGTTTATTGACATTATTAACAATTATGTTGTAGCAGAAACTTTAGAATCTAGCTACAGTTTCTATTCAAACTCTTATTTTCTTGTTGAGAAAAAGAAGAAGAGAACATATCATTTTGTTGATGCAGCTCAGCACTACAATGCAGTTATAATTTTTGATGTGTTTATTTCTTCAAATTGTGATGAATTTGCTGAAGAATTTGCAGAATTGACAATTGTCTTACTTATTGATCTTTTTTCTGAATATGACAATTTTTCATTAGCTGAAGAAAGCAGAAATATAATGATATTCAATACTCTAATCAGCTTCTATCAGCGTATTACTTTAATTCAAGAAGCCACAAATTCATCTGTTTAAGCTCAGTGTGAAATTACTCAAATAGACTTTTGAATTATGCAGAC